AGGCTGCGTAAAGTGCCCCGACTCGCAACCGCGCCGTAAAGAGGGGACTAGCCCACAACACTCGCCTGGCATGCCCTCAATGACGCCTTGTCACCGCTGCTCATATTGCATGGCTGCTTCCTGTGGAGAAGCGGGGGCCTGGATGCGCCAGGCAAATGGTGAAGGTCGGCTCACCTTCATTGAAGATGCGAACCGAGCGTTGGGTGAAGGTGCTTTGGCGGGGACATTCCGAAAGGTCAGCCTACGTATAAGTAGAACACCATTTGAACGGGAGTTGCAACGTGCAAAAGCTTTGGTAGAAGACTGTACATCAAGACCCCGTAAGTTAGACAATGCATGTGTTGCTATCTGCAACATTGCAGCGCTTTTGGATGTTGCAGGAGTTGAGCATCCCCGCAAAGATAGAGATGATGCAGAGACTGTCAGGCAAGTTGTGGAAACAGTGCTGACAAATTTAGCACAGCGTAGTGAAGACGAGGCTAGGGAGACACAGCTGCAGGATGACGTGGAGAAGGAGAAGCATCTGTTGGAGGCAAAGCTTCACCAAATGCAGGTGGAATGGGAGGCTGCTCAGAACAGGGAAGAACGTTTGAAGGCGGACATCCAAAGAGTGAGGGAGCTTTTGGATGCTGAGAAGTGCAAGATGGGCAAAGATGTGCAGCACTTCAGGAAGCAGGTGGCCCAGCTGAGGTCAGAGAATGCTGTGCTGAAAGACCAAGTGAGACATAGAGATGAGGACGATGAAAACTTAGTAGAACAGCAGGGCTGTGAGCGTGTTTTGAACGCTTTTCTCTGCCCCATATCCAAGGAGATAATGAAGGATCCGCACATTATGATTAGCAATAGGACAACATTTGACAAGTGCTCAATCGAGAGCTGGTTCAAAGCTCATAATCAGTGCCCCATAAGTGGTCGGCGGCTCAATAAGGAGGACAGACAACTTATGCCGAACATTGCACTGAGATCAGCGATTGAGGAACACCAGATTATAAATTTGAGATGACATGTCACATGCTCACAAGTGTCTTTCTTCAACTCAGTCCTGCGTCTTCTTACTACCATTTGCGCCCAAAGTGCCGCCTCCATGACGTAACGGAGGCAAGAAAAGGGCATAATACCAGAGTCAACTGGCGCTTCGCTTGGGGGCTTTGCCCCCACTATCCAGTGGCCGCCAAGCGCCATACGGTGCTTGGTACCGCTGAATACTTGTCCGCTTTGGGTGATGCTGCAAGGAGCGTTACTGTGTCCCAGCTATGCCACAGACCTCCAGCCCAAATCCAAGCGATGCCGGTACATTGCACAATGTGCAATCGCACTTTAGGGAAGCTCGAAGATGAGCCCTTTGATGGAGGTCTCTATGCCGTCTCTATGCTCATGTGGTTTTGTGAGATGACATTCTTCCGGGTATGGCCTTAGATACATACATATTTGCGTTTGGAGTCCTACTGAAAAACTTTGTACTACTAATCTGTTATATTCTCTTCTCTGAAAAGGTAATTACAATATTGCATCTTTTGGGGGTATGTCCTTACATACATATATATTGGCAATTGGGGACCAAAGGGAAAACTCTGTACTACGTATCTGTTATAATTCCTTCTCCGGAGAAGAAAGAAATTATAACAGATTATAGTATAAGAGTTTTGGTTCCCCCCGATGCTTGCCAATATGTATGTATGCAAGGTCCCTTGGAAGAAAGGCAAAGAGTTTCACAAAAGGTGAAACTCTTCAAATGAAGATTCACACCCTCAAATCGGCCTTTTATATGGACTTCAAGCTGGCGCAGTCGGGCATGGGTAGGCAGGCCGTGGCTGCTGCACGCCACAGGCTGCCATCTGCACTCATCTAGGGCCACACTTCTCCTCCTTCATATTGCCTTTGTCGCTCAGAATGTTCCTTCAGATTCAAGATGGCCTCGACTGCTCAGGTCTCAGCAACTTACAGGCGCTGCACCCCCATCGAGCACATCCGAACTCGACCAGATTCATATGTAGGGTCCGTTGTCCCAGAGCAGACCAAGACCTGGGTCATCGAGGAAGGGCGCGCCATCGAGAAGGAGATCACTGTCGTCCCTGGCCTCTACAAGATTGTGGACGAGATCCTGGTCAACGCGATCGACCAGACAAAGGTGGACCCGACCGTCGACTCCATCAAGGTTGAGGTTGATGTGGAGGCAGGGCTTATCAGCGTGGCCAACAGCGGGCGAGGCATCCCCGTGGTTGAGCACGACTCTTACAAGATGTACATACCTGAGCTGATCTTTGGCAACCTCCTGACCTCTTCAAACTATGATGACTCGGAGGAGCGGACCACCGGCGGGCGCAACGGGTACGGGGCCAAGCTGACCAACGTCTTCAGCCAATCCTTTGCTGTTGAGACCTTGGACCTAGAGAGAGGGCTCAAGTATTGCCAGGTCTGGGAGGACGGGATGTCCAAGTGCAAGCCGCCAAAGATCTCACGCCCCAAGAATCCCAAGCACGGCTACTGCAAGATCTCCTTCAAACCCGACCTCGCTGTCTTCTCCATGGAACGCCTGAACGACGAGATTGTCAGCCTCCTCCACCGGAGGGCCCACGACGCCGCAGCCTGCACGCGTCCGAGCGTGAGGGTGTCTTTCAATGGCAAGAACCTCCCGTCCAAGGGTGGGTTTGAGAGCTACTGCGAGCTGTTCATCGGGTGCAAGAAGGAGGCGCCGCGCGTGTTCTTCCGCCCAAACGAGCGCTGGGAGGTCTGTGTAGCTGCTTCCGCGGACGGCTTCCAAGCCATCTCGTTCGTCAACGGCGTGCACACGGCTCTGGGCGGCACCCACGTGGAGCACGTGGTTGCGCCGCTCACCCGGAGGGTTGCCGAAATGCTGCAGGCCAAGGTGAAGGGGGCTACTATCCGGCCAGCACATGTCAAGGAAAAGCTGATGCTCTTTGTGAATGCGACGCTCGTCAACCCCACCTTCAGCTCTCAGACAAAGGAGATGTGCACGCTAAAGGCCAGCCTCTTTGGGAGCACGTGCGAGGTGCCAGACGAGGTGGTTGGAAAGGTGGTGGGCAAGCTAGGGATTGCCGACGCGATCATTGCAAAGGCAAGGGAGCGAGAGGCCAAGACTCTGTCACGAACGGACGGGAACAAGACGAGCGTCATCAGGGGGATCCCCAAGCTGGAGGATGCCAACAAAGCGGGTGGCAAGCGGAGCTCCGAATGCACGCTCCTGGTGGTGGAAGGGGACAGCGCTCGTGCTTTCGCCATGGCAGGGCTTTCTGTGGTTGGCAGGGAGTTGTACGGGGTCTTTGCGCTGCGGGGGAAGATCCTCAACTGCAGGGACGCCCCAATCAAGGCCATTGCGGAGAACAAGGAGATTGCCAACCTCAAGCAGATCCTGGGCCTCCGAGAGGGCCACAAGTACAAGTCGCTCTTGGAGCTGCGCTACGGGAGAGTCATGCTCCTCACGGATGCTGACTGCGATGGCACGCACATCCGAGCGCTCTTCCTCAACTTTGTCGAGTTTGGCTGGCCGGAGCTTATCGAGGTCAGCCACACATCCAACGAAGGCTCTCTGACAATGGTATGCTGGTTCTCCGCACTCTTGTCTTTGCTCGTGCCTTTGTCTGCCGCTGTCCCCGTCTCCTCCATTCGAAAGTACAAGGATTCTTTTGCAGCTGGGGTTTGCGTGGCACCTGAGGACCCACGTGGTCAGGGCGTTCAAGAGCAGCCTGACGCGTGCGTTCTTCACGGAGCGGCAGTACAGGGAGTGGGCACAGACGAGCGAGGCCCGTGGTGCCTGGCGAATCAAGTTCCTGAAAGGTGCGAACTTCCAGGGACTCGGTACCTCTCGGGACCCGTCAACCTCTCCCTCTCGTCTTGGACTGGTTGGAAACCGTAACGCGTGTAGAGGGCCTGTAGTCTGCTCAAGTGTGCGTCTTCGCCTGTCTGCTGCCCTTCGGCTAAAGGATAACAGAAGAGCTGCACTTCCTTGACACCGAGGGAGTACATGTGCGCGAGTGCGGTGTTCAGCAGCAGGAACGAAAATCCCATACCCCGGAAAGGTTTGGAAACACCCATAAGGCTTATGTATGCACTTGTCTCGAAGAGCTGATAGTTGAGGTATGCAATCTTTGAAGGCCCAGCTCTGATGGCTGTGTCTGCGGTGAGCAATTCGATGGTTCCAGCAGCAAAATCATGACGAATCCTGACCTTCTGTCGACTGACATCTGGAGCGGGCACCTGGATAAGCGTCTCCAGGCGAGCCACCATTGCCATATTTCTTGACGCTCTGCCCCAAGAGCACTTTCCTAAGCTTCTGAGCGATGCAGGTCTGGGCACGTCCACCGCCAAGGATGCCAAGGAGATCTTCAGCAACATGAGCAAGGTCACGTACACAACGGACCCCGGGGCGGCCGCGGCCATGCAGCTAGCCTTTCAAAAGGCAAGGGCAAACGACAGGAAGAGGTGGATCGTTGAGGCGATTGCAAACCCAGCGCCGGAGCCGGTAGGCGAGCGGGTGACCCTCTCAGAGATGGTGGACACCGAGCTTGTCAACTACTCCATTGCTGATGTCCGCCGCTCCATCCCCAGTGCAATCGACGGTCTGAAACCCTCGACGAGGAAGATCATCCACGTCAGCATCAAAAGAAACGTTCGGGAGGAGTTCAAGGTGGCCCAGCTAGCCGCGGCGGTCGCAGAGGGAAGTGCATACCATCACGGTGAGAGGCGAACCTCTTGCGCAGATGCGCGGATGAGCGAGTGTTTTCAACCCCCCTCCTATAGTCAAAAAAGGGGGGTCCCAGATTTTGAAATACTTTTGAAAGTTGCGCTCCATCCGTGTATATGCGTGAGCTTGCTGTAAACTACAAACCTCTGTTTCTTACTGGAATGGCTGTAGCATGCTGTGAACTACAAAGTCTTGGTTTATCCTTACCGGCATGGCTACAACACGCATGCGCGCATGAGCAAGTGTTTTCAACCCCCCTCCTATAGTCAAATTTACTAGGTCCCAGATTTTGAAATACTTTTGAAAGTTGCGCTCCATCCGTGTACGTGCGCAAGTTTGCAGTTGACTACAATGTTCTGCATATTTGACGTCAGACAACCTTTCGAAAATTGAGAGGGTCGAGAATCTGACGGGTGAAAGCTTACTTTTGTCATAGGGGAGGAGAGTCTGAGCGGCGCCATCATTAACCTGGCGCAGACGTTTGTGGGATCCAACAACCTCAACCTGCTCGAACCGGTCGGGATGTTCGGGACGCGCCTGGCCAACGGGAAGGACAGTGAGTATTCTGCATCCGAGCCGTGTTCAAAACCTGCGTGCCAATACAAGACAGCATGTCAGGCAGGTCACTGGTGGGCGCCACCCTTGCATCATGTTACAGGCCTGTGGTGACAACCAAGGTGCTTGGCATACAGGATACTGCATGTCTTGCAGCTCACGGTGCCGCCCTTTCTGCATGTTTTTACAGTGCCAATGACTATCTCGAACGTCAAAAGCTGCAAGAGAAGCGCAGACAGCCCCTCAAGAAGCAACTTGGGCGGTCGCAGGTGCCGCGCCGAGATACCTCTTCACGCACCTGACTCCAACTGCACTCTGCGCTGTCCACCCTGCCGACGGCCCCCTCCTGACCTACCTTGAAGAGGACGGCAAGGCCATAGAGCCAGCCTACTTTGTCCCGACCGTACCCTTGATCCTCCTGAACGGTGCCTCCGGTATCGGCACTGGCTTCTCCACGTACGTCCCCAACCACGCGCTGGAGGACGTCATTGCCAACATCCGGGCAATGCTGCGAGGCCTCGACCCGATTGAGATGCACCCTTCTTGGGCTGGCTTCAAGGGGACCGTCCGGGAGTCTGAAAAGGGGGAGTACGTCGTTTCCGGGGTTTACGAGAGGCTCGACAGCAGCCGCATCCGCATCACGGAGCTGCCAATCGGGACGTCGATCGACGCCTACAAGGCTTTCCTGGAGAGCGACAAGCTAGGGGCCCGGTCCATCAAGAACGAATGCACGGACACGATTGTGGACTTCACCGTGGAGTTCAGCCCCGAGAGGCTCGAGACTATCCTGCCTGACATCGAGAAGGAGCTCTGCCTCACCAGGAAGCTGAGCACCAACAACATGCACCTGTTCGACTCGAACGGCCACATAAGACGGTTTGAGACCGTGACCGACATCCTGCGGGAGTTCTTTGGGGTGCGGCTGAGCCTCTACGAACGCCGCCTGCTGCACCTGATCCGAGCAAAAGAAGAGGAGCTGGCTGCCTGTTCCTACCGGGCGCTCTTTGTGACGAGTGTGCTCGATGGGGGTGTCCGACTTCTGAAAGCCAAGGTGGCAGACATCCGTGCCGACATGAGCGCGGCAGGGATCCCCGAGGCCTACCATCAGCGCTTCATGTCGCTCCCCCTGTCGAGCCTGACGGTGGACGAGGTGGAGAGGCTCTTGGCGGCCAAAGAGGCCCTGGCGTCAGCCCTTGACCTCCTCAAGGGCAACACTTCTTCGGCGCTGTGGGAGGAAGACCTGCTTGAGTTGGAGAGAGCGCGGAAAATCGGAGCATAGATAGCCTGGTTGCTTGGTATGGACTTTGGCGTGTGTGCTGATGCTTCGTGTAGTGAGAGAGTGTACCAGAAACACGACCGGTACTGCATGAAACACTTCAACGTCTCACCAAATCAAAGAGTGCGCGACTTTGACATCACGGAGAAGACCAGCATGGATGCCATCATGAAGGACCTGCGCGCTATAACTCGTTACACATGGTACTGCAAGCCCGACGAGGATGACGTCCGAGTTGCGGAGTTGTCCTTGCAATATGCTCTGCAATGGAAGGCTGTGAGCTACGATGCAATCGCCCGCCTGGCCGTCGTCATGCAGTACCTCTATTGCACAATGGCGGCCCTCGAGCCTGTTGACGTGTACCTCAACCCGCACTCTCTGTCGGAAGAGCCCGATTACCAGCCGCTCGGGGAGATCCGATCGTCCTTGATGTACCTCATAGAGAGCTGCGGGATCCACGCCGCAAAGTTCTCAGGGCTCTCTAGGAGCCTCCCATTGGTTGCGTTTGCCAGGCGCCGCTGCTACAAGCAGGCAGCAGACGTCTGGTGGAAGAGCAGGTTGAAGCTTGAGGCTTTCCACAAGTCCCTCGGCTGGATGTGGTTCACCTTCAAGCGCTTCACGCAAGCAGCGAGTGTCGCCCGCAGAGAGGGCCTCGCAGCAAGGGAACGCACTGTCCTGCGCATGGATGCTGAGGTGCTCGGTGGCCTCGCCGAGACCCTGTTCAAAACAGCATTGCTGCACTACCAAGAGCTACTCGCAGTCTGAAAGATTTTGTGGCATTGGTTACATAGAGGATGCAAGTGACGATCGGGGACTTTGTAGACAAGTGGTTGATGGAGTTGCGTGACGCACAATCGGAGGCTACGAAGCACGAATATGGCAGTGATACCTTTCTGTACTATGAAAAGCACGTGCAGGATTTGCTGGACGAGTTGGCAAGGGAGCTCGTGAATTACATTGAGCACCCACCAGGGTACGAGAGCAATGAAAAGGCCAAGATCACTGTCAAAGATGGCAAACTCGTCGTTTCTCTGGACGGCAACGATTACAACGCGGCAAGCGAGGCAACCCGCAGCGCCCGCTTGAGCTTCGTGATGCGGAAGATCCTCGAAGAGAGGGGCACTCTGGCACAGGGTGGCGATATTAGCCTTTACAAGGTGGTGAGCAAACTCTTAACACCATCGCGTCTGAGCCCTCCGCCTGACCGGCTCTCGCTCAACCCGGATTACGTTGACTTCAACACAAAAAACCTTCCTGACGCGCAAGAGGACGGTCAGACTCACATCTTCTACGACCCAGCAAACGTAGGTGATGACCTGAACCTTAAAAAAGTTTATCGGTCAAAGGTGAATCTCGAAGATGTTGATCAGTATAGGAATGCCAATCACCGTTTTGGGACTACCTTGACGGGTCGGTTTATGCACCCCGACTATCGGACACTCGACAAGCGCATTGCCAACGGGGTTCCTCTCATGAACAAGGACGCGTTTGAGAAAGGTAAAGGCAATATGAAGAGCTGGGTTGCCAATCAGAACAAGCGGGTCAACAAGCAGGTTGATGCTGCGCTAAAGAACAACGGCTTGGATGCATCCGCCGATGGCAAACGCCTCGTTGCTGAAAGCACACCATTGGGAGAAGAGAGCACTGCAAAGGCGATTGCGAACGCGGCTGTAACCACGAATGGGGCCCCTCCTCCAGTGAATGCAGTCACTGGAGCCGTCAAGGACATTCATCAACCAGAAAAGATGACACCTGAGGCGGTTGCGACAGCCTTGAAGAAGAAAAACCTCGTAGCTTCTAAGGAAGGTCACGAAAGCATTGCAAGTGCTGCACAGACAGGAAACCCATCGGACGTGCTTGTTGCAGTAGCGCAGAATGCAACGACTCCCACCGGTGGTATGCCCCCCACTGATGCAGTGGTTTTGGCGGCAAAAGCAATCAATGCTCCCAACTTTGCAAACTTCAATAGCAACAATGCTAGGTCGCAGCTCAACCAAAGACCCGACCATGACGCTTCCAAGTTAGCAGCAACGCAGGTTGCCCTCATTGGCAACGGATTGCAAGCAACCGGTCAGGAAGGGCTTAAAAATATTGCAAAGAAGGCGGGAGCTCCGAGTAAAGTTCTGCAAAACACCATCCAGAACAATACCAAGAGCGTGGTTGGTGCAAAGAACGGTGTCCAAGTCGCAAATGCCGCAGAGGCTGTAAGAGCGCTCACCGGGCAGAACCTCTCAAAATCAATGGCTGCAAACGGCTTTAATCACACAAACACCAGCAAAAATCCTTTCGTGTCCAAGAACATTGGGCAATCTGTCAATGCAGCTCAGGCAGTAAGAGGGTCGAACTTGTCAAAAGCAATGGCCGTAAACGGCTTCAACCAGACAAACACCAGCAAAAATCCTTTTGTGTCCAAGAACAACAATGCCAACAAGCCAACTGTAACGTCAACCGGGATAGGATGGAAGTAACAGAGCCGGAACTGAATCCGTGCGGTCCATCGGTGGCCGTTTCTCCTGTGTAGCCTACAGGACACTCATGCTTCCAACCGACTGCATCCGCGGCATCACAATGAGGAACACTGCCCGAGTGCCTACACCGCCGGGCACTATCTTCTACATACTCCGAAGCGACGCGACCGGGATGTTTGACTCTTTCTATCGGCTCCGATACGACCAGAGGATCCTGGGCCGCTGCCTGATTGACCCACGTGGCTGGACCATCGTGCATGATTTCGGCCAAACGTGCCCTGGGGAGGACCCGAGGTGCATCTCACACAAGGGCACGGACTACCTGCTGGACAACACCTGGGGCAGCAGCAGCTTGATCGTGCCAGCTGACAACTTCCGACCGTGCAAGCTTCCCTCAAAGGGCAAGAATCTCAGCCTCATCTCCCACGGCGACGAGCTCCTCTGCATCGAGTGGCTCCGACCCCTGACCGTGCTGTCTACAACCGAGTCGCCCTACCCCGATACTTGGAGGCGAGTCAGGGCCCGGAAGGAGAGCCCGGACTACAGCCTGCGCGGTGGCACCCCTGGTTACAAGACCCCGGTCGACGACCGTGTCTACGTCGGCTTTGGACACCGTACGACGGCAGGCCCCAAGGGCGAGGTCAAACACAACCCGTTTGTATGGCGGCTGGATGTAAAGAGCTGGCAGATGAGCTTTGCAGAGGTGGAGGCCCAGCTCGAGCGGGCCATCACAGACCCCACCTGTGTCGTACAGCACGATGGGAGGTTCTACTTGGTCACGGCAGAATCCCACCTTCCCTGGTTCGGTGGCCTTCAGGAATTCTTTACATGCATCTATGAGCTGCATTTTGGAGAAAATACAGCGGTATAAGAGGCACATGGGGCTGTGCATCGGGAAGCAAAGAGATCATGAGACCCAGGATGAACCATCGCCAGAGCAGACTGTTCCAAGGACAACCCTGGCAAACAAAGATTTTGGGTTCAACCGGCACTTTAAGGACATGTACACGGTCAAGGAGGAGATTGGTCGCGGATCTTTTGGCAGGACGCACATCGCAGAGGCCAAGTCACAAAAGGGCGGCACTGTGGCCGTGAAGATCATCCCAAAGAGCTCCATGATCAGTGAGGCCGCCATTATGGACGTTCACAGAGAGGTCCAGATCTTGAGCCTGCTGTCAGGCCACGAGGGGATAGTGGAGTTCATGGCAGCTTACGAGGACTTGATGAACGTGTACATTGTGATGGAGCTATGCCAAGGTGGCGAGCTGATGGATGACATCCTCAGCAACCAGGGGCCATACAAGGAGGCAACCGCGGTCGAGTTGGTGTGGCAGATCCTCACGGCAGTTGCCTACATGCATGAGAAGAACGTGATCCACCGGGACATCAAGCCTGAAAACTTCATCTTTGCCAACGAGAAGGACAACATCATAAAAGCAATAGACTTTGGTCTGTCCTACAAGTGTCAAGAGAACGAAACTGTCAAGGAAGTAGTGGGGAGCCCATTTTTTGTCGCGCCAGAAGTCCTAAAGCAGGCCTACAATCTCAAGGCAGACGAGTGGAGCGTGGGGGTCCTGACATACATCCTGTTGATCGGAACACGGCCCTTCTTTGGGAGGACGGACTCGGAGATCTTCAAGGCCGTGCTGAGGGACGAGCCTGACATTGACAATGCGGACCTCAGCCTGCCCGCAAAAGACTTTCTGAAACGGCTGCTCAACAGGAACGTCGAGTCGAGAGCGACAGCGAGGGAAGCCTTGGATCACCCTTGGCTCAGAGATAGATCCGCAATGCCCGTTCAACCAGGCTGCGGCAGTAGTGACACACGCTCCGGCCTCGATAGCACTCGTCACATATGCAATGACCGCACGGAATCATTGCAAGCCTGACCTGAGCGTGAGTGCAGACCGGGCACTCCCCACACATGTCAGGATTGATTGCCCGTTTCATCTTGCTTGTTACTTCGTAGAAAGCAGCCAGCTTTGCATGTATCTGTTCCAACCGGAGCACCTTCTCAGTCAAGTCCCTTTCCAGCCCGTTCTTCACATCTTTGACAAGGCTTTGTATGACTTCGATGGCGGAGGCCTCATGCACGTGATTCATGACCCGGGACAAACCCTCCTCGAACGTTGACAGCCTCCGACGGGCCTCTGCAACCTCCTTTCCACAGGCCTCCTGCTCTGTCTGCAAGGGCTTCAGGAGGCGATCGACCTCCAAAGAAGCCTTGGCAAATGCGGCAGCATCGGGCAGGTCTGCGAGAAACATCCAGTCGCTGATCGATTTTGTTTCCAGCAGCGAGTAGTCCTCCTGGCCATTGTAAGCTGGCGTCATCTCCATGAGAAGCCTCGGGACTTTTGCGACCCCCTAAAAACGTGCAGAGGCCCCCACGTTTGTCAGGCGCTGGATTCCTTGATTGGGTTTCAGTGCCTGGTCCCTCACACGCCGCATCATACCCAGCTTGTTGAGAAAGTCGGAAAACGACAGATCACATGTCACATACACAGACAGAGAATTGGAAACCGACAGGACCGATGACACGGGGTCCTGGAACAGCCGAGAGACCCGGCCTAGCAGCTTACTCTTGCGGCTCTCTCGTGCCACCTCAAGCTCGTGCTTGACCGATGCCCGAAAAGTGTGCATCCCCTTGTCTTGGAGAAGCCACATCGTGTCAAGCTGCATGTCGGACACGTCCCCAACTCCCGAGAGGTCATCCAGTCGGTTACATCTCAGGGTGGACGCACCATGATGAGCATCACAGCTGTCGGGAACGTCCAACTTTGCAGACTCTTTGACCGACCAATCCGCCAAGCTGCAAAAGCTGCCTCCGTAGAGGTCGATCTGGCCCCTGTGACTCACCTGTCCGCCCAACTCATTTGTTGCTGTACATGTGGCAGAGAGGAGCACGCGCAAGATGTTTGTACTGCTGCCAGGATCCTCTTCGTCTGTTTCTCCGAGCGAAGCTTTGAGGGTCAGGTCAGCCACGGCGCTTCTTGACGTTCCTTTGGAAGTCGAACTGAAACACTGGATGATGTAGCTCACGCTCCTCGCGAGCTGCCCACGTTTCTGAAAGGCTTGCATCGACAGGTTCTGCCTCACGCTCGCCACCCTCGCCCGCTTCCACTCCCGCACGAGCTTGTATCCAGACCTCTGCCAAGCACGCGACTGGGCGTACCAATCAACTTTTGGGGCTTCAGGCTCCTCAACAATATGGACACGAACCTTGTTCGAACTGTGGGGGTGGAAAGTCACAGAGACGTCCCAGGACCCTTCCAAACCGAGGCCGAGGAGCCGTGACATGTGGGAGGCCTCTATGAACCGAAAGTCCATACGGCTGGCATTCTTGTCACGGCTCAGGTTGCTCTCCTCGGGGTCATGAGAGGTTGCATTCTTCCGTGCCTCTTGAGAATACGGCCCATCACGGAACCAATACAGGAAGCAACTCTCTTCAAAGGCCTGCTCTTCGCTTGGTGGAAGCTCCCCCTTCAAGCGTGCTTCGATCAGGTGGTCGACTGCCATCCCGTCCCCAGCGCTGGCTGCTGCAACGAGTCGGCTCCATTCCATCTGTCATACTGTCCAGGAAAAACAGAGTGCAAAATTCTCGTCCCAATTTTTTTGTGATGCCATTGCACAGCGAATCAAAAAGAATGGCATCGCACATCAAAAAGTACAGACTAGAGAGGAGGCAGGTCATGAAGTCTGAGAAGGACCACACCTCATCGGGCCTCAAAAAGAAGGACCTCATGTACGCGACTCATGATGGAAAGTCCAGGACCATTGTGTCTCGGAAAAGGCACGAGAATGCCATCAATAATCCTAAACTCCAGGCGTGGTTAGACCACGTGAAGAGTGTTTACGATGACATCAAACCGCTTGGCAAGACGTACAAGGATGCCATGCAGCTCGCTGCAGCCACCTACAAACGGTGATGCTCTTTGTCACTTTTTCTACCCGTATTGCAGAACGATGATATTCTTCTTTGTGCTCCTATCTTTAACCAGCTGCGTAGTTTCTCAGGAGCCGGGCTGGCTGGCAGGGACCGCTACTTACTATACGGGAGTTGATGACGTGTCCGGCGGTTATGCTGGAAATGCGGCTTCAGTGACCTCAGCCGCAGCATTGCTGGAATCCAGGGGGCGACCTACGGCCCTCTCTTTGCAGCCGGCAGCGATCAGCTTTACAAGGGCGGTGCAAACTGCGGGGCATGCTACGAGATCAAGTGCTTAGGAAATCCCGTATGTACTGGCAGGTCCGTCGTGGTTACGATCACCGACTATTGCCCGACTCAGGGCAACGAGCAGTGGTGTGGTGCCGATGCACATCATTTCGACTTGTCTGGGAAAGCCTTCAGCGAGCTGGTAAGTACGATGGCGATCGGCCACTTTGCACTGCAATACCGCAGAGTGCATTGCAAGAGAGTGGGGCCTCCTGTTGTATCGATCGAAGGCACTCCCTATTGGCAGTCCCTTCGAGTTCTGAACTTGGCCGGCCAGGGTTCGTACGATGCGATGCTCATTCGCTCGCCTGCGGGCAGTTACGTCCCTTTAAAGCGTGACTGGGGCACGAGCTTCGTCCACAACGGGCAGATTCAGGCTCCAATCTCCGTGAAGCTCGTGATGAGCGACCCCAAAAGCGAGGTCGAACTCGTCGACTGTGTCCCAATGGGATGGGTCGGCGGAGAGTACGCTTGTAAGCAGAGCTCTAGTACTTTGAGAGCACCAGAGAGCAGGCGGATGACCTTGCAAGATAATCGGCAGCGCCTTCAATGCAACTGCACGTGTGCCGCCTTCTGAACATTTTTTTCCTTGACATATAGCTGAGCATGTCCACGTCCAACAAGACATCAGGTTATGTTGACAAGGCCGTCGGAGCTTCAAAAGAAGCCACGGGGAAGGTTTTCAGTAATCGCCTCAAAAGCAAGGGTGCCGCACAGCGTGAGAAGGGGCAAGCAGAGATAGACGCTGCAAAGGCTCGGAAGCAGGCAGAGGCCACTGGCGACAAGGTTGCAGGAACGGCAAAGCAGGTTGCAGGATCTGTCACGAACAACACCAGTCTCGCCAATGAAAGTAGGGCTGAACGTTTGACGGGCAAGCAGAAGGCGGCCCGGAATGAGTTCTGAACTTGACGAACATTTGCATGAAATAGGGTAGGCTGGTTCTCTGTACTCAATTGTGAAACAAATGGTCTCTTGAGTTGTGGTTGTCACCTTTTTTGTTGTAGTTGTCACCGTTTTTTGCCAGATTGGCGGCGCGTGCAGAAACGGAACCTCTTACCTGATAAATGTTTATTCGGAGAAAATCTTTAGATGAAAATAAA